TGTTGTGTTTTCATTTTCATTTGCTTCCATGTATTTAATTGTTCTTTGATTTCCTGACTGACCCATTCATTCTTTAGTAGGATGTTCTTTAGCCTCCATGTATTTGTGGTCCTTCCAATTTTTTCTTGTGGTTGACTTCAAGTTTTATAGCATTGTGGTCTGAAAATATGCATGGTATGATCTCAGTCTTTTTGTACCGGTTGAGACCTGATATGTGGCCAAGTATGTGATCTTTTCTGGAGAATGTTCCATGTGTACTCAAGAAGAATGTGTATTCTGCTGCTTTAGGATGAAATGCTTTGAATGTATCTGTTAAGTTCATCTGGTCCAGTGTGTCATTCAGAGTCCTTTCCTTGATATTTAGATGATCTGTCCATTGCTGTAAGTGGGGTGTTAAAGTCCCCTATTATTATTGTATTATTATCAATGAGTTTCTTTAATTTGGTTATTAATTGGTTTATATATTTGGCTGCTCCCAAGTTAGGGGCATAAATATTTACAATTGTTAGATATTCTTGTTGGATAGATGCTTTTATTATGATACAGTGTCCTCCTTCATCTCTTATTACAGTCTTTGGTTTAAAATCTAGTTTATCTGATATAAGGATGGCTACTCCAGCTTTCTTTTGATGTCCATTAGCATGATAAATGGTTCTCTACCCCTTCACTTTCAATCTGGAAGTGTCTGGATCTAAAATGAGTCTCTTGTAAGCAGCATATGGATGGGTCTTGTTTTTTAATCCATTCTGATACCCTATGTCTTTTGATTACAGCACTTAGTCCATTTACTTTCAAAGTAATTATTGAAAGATACGAATTTAGTGCCATTGTATTACTTGTAAAGTTGCTGTTCCTATAGATTGTCTCTGTTCCTTTCTGGTCTTTGTTACTTTTGGGCTTTCTCACTGCTCAAAGGATCCCTCTTAATATTTCTTGCAGGGCTGGTTTAGTGTTAATAAATTCCTTCAGTTTTTGTTTGTCCTGGAAACTATCTTTCCCTCTATCCTGAATGACAGACCTGCTCGATAAAGTATTCTTGGCTGCATTATTTTCTCATTTAGCATGCTGAATATATCATGCCAGTCCTTTCTGGCCTGCCAGGTCTCTGTGGACACGTCTGCTGCCAGCCTTATGTGTCTACCCTTGTAGGTTAAGGACCTCTTGTCCTGAACTGCTTTCAGGATTTTCTCTTTATCTTTGAAATTTGCAAGCTTCACTATAATATGTCGAGCCTGTGACTTTTATTTATTTATTTATTTTTTTTTTTAATTTTTTATTTTTATTCTTATGTTAATCCCCATACATTACATCATTAGTTGTAGACGAAGTGTTCCATGATTCATTGTTTGTGCATAACACCCAGTGCTCCATGCAGAATGTGCCCTCCTCAATACCCACCACCAGGCTAACCCAGTTCTCTGCGCCTTCTGGACTTGAATATCTGTTTCTGTCCCCAGATTAGAGGTGTTCTCAGCTGTAATTTGTTCATATAAGCCTTCTGCCCCTTTCTCCTACTCCTCATCTTATGGGACCCCTATAATATGGAGATCCATATATATGTATATATACACACACATATATATATAGATATATATATATGGATATATATCTCAGGGATCTTGAGAGGATGCTGTTACCCCTGGAATTCTGCCCTGCTTCACCACCTGAGCACCTTTAGGCTAGGGACATCCCCCACTGCAGCAAACTTCTAAAAGTTCTGATTTTGCACTCCTCTGCTTATAATACTTTGCAGTATCCTTAAGCAGGTTCCCTCCCTCCTCCATATTCTCAGCTATATAACCCTGGATTCAAGTCTCTGTACCTCCTACCTTCCAAACAGTGGTGGCTTTTCTACTTGTAGACTTGCAGCTTTTCTCTTCTCAGATCTCCAGTTGATTTCTTAGATATTCAGAATGATTTGATAACTACCTAGCTGTATTCAAGGGATGAGATGACTGAGGGTCCCCCTACTCCTCCTCTGAGAGAAGGAATTTTAAGCAGCTTCACTCCCAGGGCAGAGCCTGTCACGGGGATTGATCTCACAACCCTGAGATAATGACTTGAGCTAAAATCAAGAGTCTGATGTTTAACCAACTGAGCCACCCAGGTGCCCCAACATGAATGTATTTTAGGATTAGGAAATCAATTACAGGGTTTCTCATATCATGAATACTTTGATAAAACATTTTTATCACTAAAAGTCACAAAATTTATTAAAGATTTTAAAGATATGCCATCAAAAATATTTCAAACTACAACCAAAGATAACAGTATTCTTAACCCTAAAAACAGGACAAGGATTTCTAGAGAAATGGTATACAAATTGATGATTTAAAAAAAACCCAGGTTTTTGTTTGGATTCTGCTTCAAATTAGAAATTTTATCTTAGGAAATCACCTAATTTCAGCCTGTGACAAAGTAACAGATTTCTAAGGAACATTTTTGCATTAAGAAACATCATACAGAGAATTTATAGTAATGAAAAATCTACCAGTTAGTTGCTTGGGAGGAAAGCAAGCACATTAGCTTTACTTTTTTAACTGATGAAACTGTTTAAAACAAGTTTACTTCAGTCTGTCTAGGAGAGAAATAATACTGCCCACAGAAAAAATACAGGTAAGAAAAGAATTAATACCTTTATTTTATCCAGTAATGGAGTATACAGTGTATCCAACTATCTTATAGGAGCTCATTTTAAAGGAAGGGATTATTAGTTTTCAATCCTTTATGTTAACCATTTCATAGATAGTCTTTATGAATATATAGGAAAGCATTTTAATGTAAATATTACAGTAAAAATGAAAACAGTAGTTTTGCAAATTCATGTCTCTGGCACAAATATCAAATAAAATTATAACCAAGGTTTCTTGGAGAAGTGGCTGATTCTATAGCTGAGGTTGGGAAAGTACAAGATGAGAGAGGAACATAGTTTATGCAAAAAAGCTACAGAGACAATATAAGAAAAAAAATTATGGTAATGGATTATAACAAAAAAATAAAGACCACTGAAACCATCATGATATTAAAAAAGAAGGGAAAACTCTTCTTTACTGAAAAATGACAGCTAATAAATGTATAAAAATGATAGAATATAATCATTTGTAATCACTCCTTATAATATTTATCTCAGGCAAGGATTATCAATGGATGCTAAGACCACTGGATGAAGTTTTTGGTAGAAAGTATACCTGTACTGTCTTCGAGTATTTCCTCCAATTATTTATAAAGTATACAAATGGAAAGTTCTGGTCTTACCACCTTAACCATGTGGTCAAGCTTAGCTTCAACCAATGCACAAGCTTATATTTTAGCTTCCTGATGTGATCAAGTGGGAGATACACATATCACTCTGCCAGAAATGACCTAAATCTAATCAAGAAGAAATGGTCACATGAATCTACATGTGGAATATTCTGGATTGTACAAAGGATTCTTTGCAGACACAGAGGAAGGCTGAGGACTAGGTTAAATTGAGGGAGACTACACAGACATATCAGTCAAATGCAATGATACATAAATTTGGATTGGATCCTGGATTTAAAAAACCAAAAAGCTAACAAGGATATTTTAGGGAAATTTGAGTGTACATTAAAATAATGATTTTTTTTTTTTAAGGTATGGTAATAGTGGTGTGGTTGTATAGTAAAATGTCCTCAGGGGAAAAACATGCCAAAATATTTAGGAGTGAAGTGTCATAATGCCTGCAGTCAATGTCCAAATGTTTGGCAAAAGAGTGTGTGTATGTATAGAAAGAGATGGAATGGATGTGGTAAGGCATTAAGAATTATCTGGCTAAGGGGAAAAGAAGTGTTCACTGTACAGCTTTTAACCTTTTTATGGGTTTGAAAATTTCTAAAAACAAAACAATACAAAATTAATGGGAAACAATTTCTCACAGTGAGTGAGAAGAGACCTCTAGAATCAACAGACTTGTATTTACATCTAGTTTTGCTACTTCCTAGAGGGAGAACCCTAAAGCAAGTTACTTGTTTCAGTTTTTTTAATCTTTAAAATGGGTTTTTTTTTTTCCTCCACAATTCACTTTACACTTTCAAACTTTACCACAACACTTATGAATTGATTCATATCCATACAGAAGAAAAGGCAAATAGATGTTATGTCTTGTCTTTTTATATGAAAGTAAACTTACATTTCCCAGTTTTAATTTGCATAAGCCTCACAATTCAAACCAAGAAACAATTCATTAGTTTAACACAAAAATATCAGATTTAGTCTTGATAACAGAATTGAAAATAACAACACATTCACATATTGTACAAGTGCCAGCATGATATGATCAAAACAATGCTGGGCTCAGCACAGCAGGAGAAGGTATGAGTCTAAATTCTGGCTTTAACTGGGTGGCTCAGTCAGTTAAGTGTCTGCCTTCGGCTCAGGTCAGAGTCCCGGGATCGAGCCCCGGATTGGGCTCCCTGCTCAGTGGGGAGTCTGCTTCTCCCTCTCCCTCTGCCCCTCCCCCTGCTCCTTCTCTCTCTCTCTCCCTCACTCTCTCTCAAATAAATAAATAAAATCTTAAAAAAAAATAAATTCTGGCTTTAATTCATATATAACTGAGTGAGTCAACAACCTCTCATGGTTTCAGTTTCTTTACCAATAAAAAAAAGAGGTCAAACCAGATTTCTCCAGTCCTACGCTCCTCTAAGATTCTGCAAGCAAACAGTAGGTTTTCTTCTCTTACTTCTTATGCATTCTATTTTCTTTTTGAGGCTTCTTTTTAATTTTACACTTCAGGTGTATTAATCTTCACGATATTCTTAGCCTAAACCCCTCTCCTCCTCTCTAACTTCCTCTGTCCCCACCTCAGCCCCACTCTAGCTCAAATGGTAGGGGTATCCTGAGATGACTTTTATTTGAAATTTAGCACAATTGGTTTAGTTAGCTGATAGTTAATTAGCTAGGTCCATTAGACAAAAGCTTAGGTAGTATTTATTCTTGGGTTGTGAAATTCTGTAAACTTTTAAAGTTTAAAGACTCCTTACTTCCTTCCTGGTTCTTATGGCAGCATCTTGCATAAGCCGAGAGACTGTTTCTTTCATTTTCTCTATATTTTCTTCTTTTTGCTTCTCTTCAAGTAGAGCCTTCAGAAAAATAATCACATAATCATTTCATGTTATTATAAATCACATCATTATTAATAAAGATAACACAGTAAGTGATTAAAAACCTCTCCACTGATCACTTTGTTGAAAGCAAACATCTTATTCTAAACTTCTGGGACAGTATCGTGGTTTTAAATATCATTTATATGCTGACAACTTCCAAATTTACATCTCTAGACCAAATATCTTTATGAACAGGTTGTTAATACACAACTAATAAATTACTGAACACTACATCTGGAACTAATGATGTACTACACTATATGTTGGCTAATTGAATTTAAATAAAAAATTAAAAAAACCAAAAATATCTTTCTGAGCCTGAAACTGCTCCAATTTTAGGTCTGATTGAATCTCTTTTTTTATCATTACATAATAAATGGCCTTGTGTTCTGATCCCACTACCTTCCAAAGATACCATACACATTCCCATCTGTATTTTTTAAATTGTTTAACAAATTTCTTCCTGCTTAAATAGGTAAGCTAGTGAGAATTAACAGCTATTTTTTATTTAAATAGAATTAATAGGGTGTTATATTAATTTCAGGTGTACAATATAATGATTCAGCAGTTTTTTTTTTAAATTCTTTTTTATTTCTTTATTTTTAAGTAGGCTCCATGCCCAATGTGGGGCTTGAAGTCATGACCCTGAGATCAAGAGTTGCATGCTCTACGACTGAGCCATCCAGGCACCCATGATTCAATAGTTCTATACATTACTCAGTGCTCATCATAAGTGTACTCTTTTTTATTTTTTTAAAGATTTTTATTTATTTATTTGACAGAGATGGAGAGAGACACAGCGAGAGGGAACACAAGCAGGGGGAGTGGGAGAGGGAGAAGCAGGCTTCCCGCAGAGCAAGGAGCCTGATGCGGGACTTGATCCCAGGACTCTGGGCTCATTACCTGAGCTGAATGCAGACGCTTAACTGACTGACCCACCCAGGTGTCCCGATAAGTGTACTCTTAATCCCCTTCACCTATTTCACCCATCTCCCCACTCACCTGCCCTCCCTCAACCACCAGTTTGTTCTCCATATTTAAGAGTCTGTCTCTTTTTGTTCATTTGTTTTGTTTCTTAAATTCCACATGAGTAAAATCATATGGTATTTGTCTTTCTCTGACTTATTTCACTTAGTATTAGACCCTCTAGGTCCAACCATGTCGTTACAAATGGCAAGATTTCATTCTTTCTATGACGGAGTAATGTTCCATTGTATATATACACCACATCTTTATCCATTCATATATGGATGGGAACTGGGTTGCTTCCATATCCTGGCTATTGTAAATTATACAGTAACAGCTGTTTTGATGTAACAACTTTGTGGGAGAGTGGGACAATGAAGAAATAGGGAAACATCATAAAAGAACAATAGTAGGCTGTGTTTCATGTCTGTTTGTATGATCACTGGAGAGAATCCTTGACTTTCTGGAACAAGCAACTAAAGGTGGGACTTCTGTAACAATTAAACAGTGGGTCAGGAGGGAGCTTAATACTGTAGCCATAAATGGGCTCTTTAAGGGTCTGTTGACTTCGGACCTGAGTAGATTTAAGGGATAGGCAATGAATATCATTACTTCTCTGTCCATTGTGCTTTACACAAAATGTTCATCTTTAGTGACCTGATATTAACAATGCTCATATGACTAGGCTTCAGAGGGGAAAGATAAACAATTTTGTCTTGCTCTGAACTGTTTTAGTTAACTTAGAGTTTAGAGCAATTTCCAAGTATATTATGTCTATGTTGTGCCTTTCAACCATTCTAAGAGACAGTATTCAAATCACAGATGAAATTATTAGCTGAAAGGCATGACAAGCACCTTTGCATTCTCACAGTTTACATTTGAATATTATTTCCTTCTTATTTATTAGCTTCTTAATATGTGACTTATATAGCTTGTTTCATTTTTAACAGCCCTCTTGAAAAACCCTCTACTATGTAAAAAAGGAAACATAAATAAAGCAAAGTATTTCCTTTGTATTCCCCATATTTCCCAGTAATTATGCTTATGTTAGGTATTTAATAAATGTTGGTTAAATGAAGTAATGATTTAATGATCTCTAAATAAAGGAGGCAAGAACATTAAAAACAAATCTATCCACTTGGTGACCTCTATGAACTATATACCATTTATATGGAAGTGATAAAAGAAAAAAACTATAATATGTGATAGCATAGGAATCACAATTGTTAGAGGGTTAAAAAAAGAACAGTGACATGAAGGTTCTAGTTAGTAAATTTTTACAGCTAAATTTAATTCCTGTCAATTAAGCTTCTGCTCTATTAGAGTAATTATGTAGGTGATGAAGGGGAAATAAAGATGAGTAAAATTAATCTGATTCAACTGAATAAAATACAGGGTATACTGCATTAAAGTGCTATAGCAGATTTTTTAAAGTATGAGACTATAGAGGATGAGTATTATTTACATCAGGATTGGAGACATAAGATCTGATATGAAAGCTTTGGGAAAAGGTTTGACATTTTATCGTATTTTGTTTTATTTTATTGTTTTTTTAGTTATCTCTACACCCAACGTGGGGCTTAAACTCATGACCTAGAGATCAAGAGTCGCATGCTCTTCCAACTGAGTCATCCAGGTGCCCCCATTTTATCATGTTTTATGATTAAGTCTTACCATGAAGAATATGTCTGTTAATGGAGAGTATAGCAGTTTCATTTTCATGTGTTCATTCTGTAATTATTGACTCCCTTATTAGGTCATATATATTATTTGTAAACATGTTTACTAGTTTTCTTACCTGATTTTTTTGAAGGTTAGCTTCTTCTAAGAGCTGCATGCTATTTCTGGCTCTTACAATAGCTTCATATTTTTCACTTTCTAATTCATTGCACTTTGCTTGTAACTCTCTGGTCTGTTTTTCCAAATGTGTTTTTTGTGCTCTTAATTGGGTGGCTTCTTGGATTGCTACACAGAGTCTAAAAGTAAATAATTACATTGCAAAAGTCAAATATTTTTAAAGGGAAGAAGGGAAATAGTAGATTTACTGAGCATCTATAATAGAACAAACACTATTCCGGTTACTTTCACGTGTATTTTCTCATTTGATCTGCACCGAAGTTTTATAAAGTAGGTTTCATTATTTCCATTGTAAAGAACAAGAGACCCAAAGAGGTGAAGCATTTGATTAAGGCCATATGGCTAATGAGCTGTGGGGCTGAGACTGAGCCTAGATATTCTGACTCTAATTATGTTACACTTTCTACAGTATCACAGCATATTATATAGTTACATGACAATGTTTTAAAGCAATTCCTTAAAGAATGAGTTATTCTTTCTATTTATATGGTCTTTTAAAATTTTTCCTTTTTTGCTTGGCATCCTTTACCCACTCTCTACCCCGGTAACCCATGTTGATTTACTAATGTGTATCGTTGAATATTTTTCTCCATGTTCATAAAACCGTATACACATATATACACAAGTAATACACAGATATACAAAGTATATACACATTGGTCCATAGGTTTTTAAACATAATTTGTGTTATAAAAATGCAAATTATAATATACACCCTTCTCTGCACTTGCTTTTCTCATTCTGTATCTTAGAGAAATCCCCTCAAGCAATACATCCAAAAGCTCTTTCTTTTCCTAGTCTGATGGATGGAACTTCATCTCACTGTTAATTTGTATTTCCCTGATTACTGGAGGGTTTAAGCATATTTTTAGTTTGTTAGCCATGTGAACTGTCCATTTTGAATTTCCTCTTCATATCCTCTGTCAGTTTTTTTCTGATTTGGGTTATTTGCTTGTTCTTTTATATGAACTCTTTGAATGTTAAGATATAAACCTTCAAGCTGTTCTGTATGCTACAAATATTTTTCCCCAAATCTACTTTTTTTGTTGCTGCCTACTGACTCTATTTAGGAATTCTTTACTACACTAAAACGTTCACTTTAATAACAGCTAAATTTGATTTTTTTTTCAGCTTGTAGGATTTCATTTTTTATAAAGACTATTTCCCTCTTCCATAGATTGTTAATGTAATTTCCTAGATTTCCTCAAAAGACTGCTATGCCTTTAATATTTTTACTGGTAAATCTTAAGTGCCTCTGGCGTTTACTTCTCTCTTTTTTTTTTTTTAAGATTTTTATTTATTTGAGGGCGCCTGGGTGGCTCAGTTGGTTGGGCGACTGCCTTCGGCTCAGGTCATGATCCTGGAGTCCTGGGATCGAGTCCCACATCGGGCTCCCTGCTGAGCAGGGAGTCTGCTTCTCCCCCTGAGCCTCCCCACTCTCATGCTCTCTCTATCTCATTCTTTCTCTCAAATAAATAAATAAAATCTTTAAAAAAAAAAGATTTTTATTTATTTGAGAGAGAGACAGAGATAGCGAGAGAGAGAGAATAAGCAGGGAGGAGAGGGAGAAGCAGATTCCCACTGAGCAGGGAGCCCAATGTGGGACTTGATCCCAGGACCCTGGGATCATGACCTGAGCCGAAGGCAGACACTTAACCGACTGAGCCACCCAGGCACCCCTGGAGTTTACTTCTGAATGTGTTATAAGAGAGAAGTCCAATTTAACTTCCAGATTGATGGTCAGTTGTAGGAATACCATTAGTAACTGATAAATTGAAATAATCCCCTTAACATACTTAAAATATGCAAATATAATGATTTACTTATGGATTATCATGTTTCATCGATCTGTCTATTCTATACCCAAATCAGATCAATATGGCTTTATAATAGGTTCTGATACATTCTGGTAAGACAACTCTTCTCTTACATTTCATACTTTTCTTTGTTATTTTCAGGCGTTTCTTTTTTCTAAGTGATGGCAGGAAAAGCATTCTCTATCCTCTTCCCACGCCTGCTACCCACACCAAAGAACCGGGAGGAAACTTCCCTGCTATAGCACACCTCAGACTCTCCCAGTTTTGGGAAATAAGAGAACTCAGCCTACCTTTTAGATCTCTATCTTTAAACATTTTTGTTGTTGCTGTTTGGTATATCTGCTTCATTTTGAATGGAGTTAAGGTCTACTACCATTTTAGTCAGGGTTCTTAGTTGCCAGTAGTAGAAGCCAACTCTAACTTAAGCAGAAAAAGGGTTTATTAAAAAGGATATTGGTAAGTTCACAGACTTACTGGGAGAGCTGGAAAATCAAGTTTAAATCTTTGTAGCAAGGGACATGCTCAAAACTTCACCACAGAATTAGCTGATTCTCTCATGAAGAGCTATACTCTGGGGAATTCCAGATTCAGATGGCCCAAAATAATGACCATAACTATTTTTATCAAAACCACCCTTTCATCAAATTCCCTAGCTTTTGCATCACATATTTAGCTATCCTATTATTTGCTGTACTTAGGTATATTAATGTATCTTTTTCAAAATGGTGTCATTTTTCAATACATAAGGTCCCTCTTTATTCTGTTTACTGCTTTTTACCATGAAACCAGACCTTGTGTAATATTAAGACTGTCACTCCTCCTTTCTTTTTAAGTTACTAATGTGCTCCACTAAAACCTTTATTTTAAATTTAAAACTAATTCTCTTCATCTTCCCTTCCTTGAGAGCTATGTTCTAGTTCATTTATTCTTTGTTTTAGGTGTTTTCTAATATATTACTGGGCCTTACTTTTTTTTTTAGATTTATTCATTTATTTTTAGAGAGAGAAAGAGAGACAGAGAGCAAGGGGGGAAGGGCAGAGGGAGAGAGAGAATCTCAAGCAGATTCCCCACTGAATGCAGAGCCTGACTCGGGGCTCAGTCTCATCACCCATGAGATCATGACCTGAGCCAAAATATATGACATTATTCATTCTATTTTACTGTAGTTAAGGCATTCGTGGAAGAAAATGAAGCAGCCCCAACCACTCTCAAAGAGGCATAGGACATATAGCACTTTACTAGTATTAGTTCACTGTTTGTTTCACCACGGTCTCTTCAGGCCCAGACAGAGCAGGTGACTCATGAAGGGCATGCACCAACTTCATCTCTCAAGAACAAGCTTTGTTTAGGACTGGGTGAATTCCAACCCTGAGTCAAGGCTCCTTGACACTCTTATCCAGGCTTCACACCCAGTCATGTCAGAAAAAGCCTTGCAACTAAAAGTTTCACATGCATTCAACAGTCTAGCAGCCCCAGCAACCACTTGGCTCTGAAAAGTCAGACTGGTTTTAGAAGTGGAGTGGAGTTACAGTAAAGCAGATTCAGATCATCAGCTTCATAATTTATAGGTTTCCATAATTTTATAACATAAAAGACATATTACTACTATTCTTATTCTCATAAAGGCATTTTTACATGCTCTTATAAGCCAAATCTTATAAGAATCCTGTCAACTTGCTAAAATTGGGTCAAGTTCCCTCTTTGTAATAATGGTAACAAAAAGGATAACAGCAAAAACTTATAATTCTTTGTGCTAGGTACTTTATATGAAAGAAAACATAATCCTCAATATCTTCAACAATGCTGTGAGATAAGTTTTATCATTAACCTATGAGGTAGGATATAAGCTTATATTATAGAAGATATAAGACAGGTTATTGCATTACATTTATTTCATAGATGGAGAAAGAGTAGTACAGAAAGGGTAAGCAACATGCCCAAGGTTATTTATCTAGTTACTGGTGAAGTTACAGTTTGAACTCAGTCTGGGTCCAGAGTCCATGTTCCTAATAAATATACTATACTGCCAAACACAAACTTCCACTTAAATGATACAGATTCAGCCCACAGATCTATGTACCTATAACTACACAGCAAGGGGCTGTCATTTCAAGTAAAGTTGGGGGTAAGAAGGCATACTAAAACCCAGGGTATTGAATAAAGTCTGAATATATTACTCTCAGACTCTTTCTTCAACTTTGGAATACACTCAGGCTAGCGCATTTTTACTCCCAGGCCACAGCAGAAGCCTGATGAATTCTACCCTGGGGAAACTGGCCCAGGAAAGATTCTGATATATGGGAACTGCTCGAGGAAAAAGCCAGCTTACTGCCTAAACATAATACAGTAAAGTCTGCCAGATCACAACCCACCTATGCACACTTAGCCTCTTACCTGCTTTTTGGTGTCTCTTTTTTTTTAACTGAAATATATTTGACATGTAACATTATATTAGTTTCAAGTGTACAACATAATGATTTGGTATTTGTATACAATGTAAAATGGTCACCACAATAAATCTAGTTAATATACATCACCACATATAGCTATTTTTTTTCTTATGATAAGTGTTTAAGATCTATTCTCTTAGCAACTTTCAAATATACAGTACAGTATTATTAACTATAGTCACCATTTTATACATTACATCCTATCATGTATGTCTTTTATAACTGGAAATTCATAACTTTTGACCACCTTCACCCATCTCACCCCCCTCCCCCCAACCCAACCACCAGTCTGTTCTCTACCTACAAGTTTGGTTTTTAAAGATATGGAATGATTCATGAATTTGTCTGTGGGCCATGCTAATTTTCTCTGTATTCCAATTTTTAGTATATGTGCTGCTAAAGCAAGTACTTTGTTATCTTACTTTTAAATATCAATGGATAGAAAGGATCACCAAGCACCAAGAAAGACAGAAGGGCACATAGGAAGAAAAGGAATGTTGAGAGAGCAGACAATAATAACAGAAGAAAACCTTATAAAATATATATTTAATATACTGAACTAAGATATAACATCTGTTAAATAAGAATAAGCTACTACAGAAAAAGAAACAGAATAAGAAATGGCTCTTTAAAATAAAATTAAGATAGCTAAAATAAAATATTCAATAGATGGTTAATGAGAAGAAAATTTAAGGAAACCTCCAAGAAAGGAGAAAATAAATGAAGGAATGAAAAACAAGAGAGAAAAGAAAGGAAAATTAGGGAATCGATCCGTAAGGTCCAATATTTAACTAATATTAAGTTCAAGCAAAATGAACAGAGAAAAAATGAAGAAAACTATCAAATGACAAAATCTATAAAAAAATTCCTTGAACTGAAGGACATGAATTTCTAGACTGAAATTTCCCTGGTAAGATGAATGAAAAATGATTCTCACTGCATGTACACACTGTGCAATTTTAGAACACTCACTGTGGTGGTGGTGGGTGGATGATCCTAAAAGTCTCCAGAGGGAAAAGAGGAATCACATATAAAAAATTGTAATTTTGAATGACATAAGAATTTTTTCCTATAGCTAGAGGCTAGACAATTTAAGGAAAATATCAACATTCTAAGGAAAAAGGATTTAAAACCTTGGATTTCCAACCTATGATTCATTACTCAACAAAACTATCAAACACCTTTGAAAGTAGGATAAAGATATTTCTAAATAAGCAAATCTTAAAAAATGCATCCCATGCATGGAGGACATTAGGAGAAGGAAGGGAAAAATGAAGGGAGGGGGGCAATCAGAGAGGGAGAAGAACCATGAGAGACTATGGACTCCAAGAAACAAACTGAAGGTTTTAGAGAGGAGGGGGTTGGGGGGATGGGTTAGCCTGGTGATAGGTATTAAGGAGGGCGTGTATTCCATGGAGCACTGGGTGTTACACGCAAACAATGAATCATGGAACACTACATCAAAAACTAATGATGAAAAAAAAACTAATGACGTATTGTATGGTGACTAACATAACGAAATAAAATTAAATTAAAAAAAATGTGTCCCATGTATCCTCAGAAAGCTGAGGAAGAATTAAAATGAGAGGGTCAACAAAGAAAGCAGCAGCCATGGGGATGCAAAAGACACAGGCTCCAATACAGAATGGCAAGAAGGAAATCCCAGGACCACAGTGAATTAAAATTTCAAAATGAGAGCTCTCATCAGTCCTAGTGAACGGTCTGAGGCAGGGGATGGAGAACACCAATGGATTTCTTCAAGAAAAGGATGTAATTACAATGACCTCATGTGGTTGACCATATTGAGAGGCATTTTAGAACTTTGATAGAGTACTTAGCTATGAATTAGTATCAAGTACACAGAAAACTTGCTATGTGAAGAAATGAGATAATTAACAAGAAACCATTGTTCATTATAATGTTTGTGGTACTATATGATTTTGAAACAATGCTTATATATTTTTCCTTTGATAAAAATAAAAGTAACAATGAATAAAGCCAATTTATCCAATTTATAACTAACATACAAAACCTTTCTTACAGAACTGATACAATAATTAATTTTATTTGGTCAATAGCAATATTCAAAAATATCCAGATTAATTTGCAAATATTTCATAATAAATCAAGGAGTTATAACTATGGAAAAGATTTAAGACTTTTATTCTTTGTAACAATGAAGACTGTTACTCTTTGTGACAGTTTATTATAGACCTTTTTTCTACCTTGTTCTATTTCGTTAAGACCATTAAAACAATTAAAATACAAAACCGTTTTTTACCATTGGGAATAATTATCATTTATTATTATAAGTAGACTCGTTTTAAAATAATAAACTTGGTGCTGGGTCCCCTACATATTCTTCTCTCATTTAATCCTAACGAAACTGCAGCTAAGTGAGGTTGGTTAACTTCTCTAATATATAAAGACAGAATGTACTAGAACCAGAAATCAAAGCAATTCTGCCTCTAAATCTCAAAATCTTTTTACTCCAACAATTTATAGTCCTGTCCCCAGATAGCCTTACTTTGAGAATATCATCAAATTAATCTTCATAAAATATTAATTTCATCATGCAGTCTTGGATAAAGAATTTGTAATACATCACATGAAATTCAAATTTGACTAATTTTATTTCCAAGCTCCTCCATATTTTATCCAACAATATTCACCAATTTCCAACGCATGGCCTTCCAAAAGACCATATTTCAACATCTTTAATTTTTTTTTTTTTTTAAGATTTTGTTTATTTATTTGACACAGAGGGAGACACAGCGAGAGAGGGAACACAAGCAGGGGGAGCGGGAGAAGGAGAAGCAGGCTTCCCGCCGAGCAGGGAGCCCGATGCGGGGCTCGATCCCAGGACCCTGGGATCATGACGTGAGCTGAAGGCAGACGCTTAACGGCTGAGCCACCCAGGCGCCCCTTTCAACATCTTTAATGAAAGAATTTATGTATTCTATTATGCTTAGGAGTACGGCAGCAAACAAAAAGCTGAACGATGATTAGAATGAAATTCACTATTTACCAGTCACCTAAATGAAGATTTCTTAGTCCTATTTGTATATTATTTTAAAAGAAACACCAAATTTAAAAGTATGAAGAGGTAGTTTAAACCAATTCCACTCAGCCTTATTTAGCTGAGCATATACAAACCAGCAAAATCTTTCCCAGAAAGAACTGTCATTCTCCGGAGGCAATTCCCAGGATCCACGAATCATCTAAAAAGGGGGAGAGGAGGGACCCTTTCTTTGGAAGACAGAAGGAAATAACTTATGCTTCTTAGGTATTTATGACATTTGAAAGGATCACAAATAATAATTTTAAAAATAATAATAATAATTTTAATAATGGCAAAAAAAGCATTTATTGAGGCCAAAATGTCTCTGATTTTGTGGAACAGAGATGACCATTAAAAACAAAACTTTTCTTTTCTTTCTTTTTTTTTTTTAAAGATTTTATTTATTTATTTGACAGGGAGAGACACAGCGAGAGGGAACACAAGCAGGGGGAGTGGGAGAGGGAGAAGCAGGCTTCTTGCTGAGAGGGAGCCCGATGCCCGGCTCGATCCCAGGACCCTGGGACCATGACCTGAGCCGAAGGCAGACGCTTAACGACTGAGCCACCCAGGCGCCACCAAAAACAAAACTTTTCTAACCAGCAGTTCCATTAAATAGGATACATTTACACCTAAAACAGATTGGCTGAGTGGTGCTTAGAAACACACGTCAAGTACACTAGTAACTCTGCTTTCTCTTTTATATAAGTACAAGAGATTTTTTAAGCTTTAAAGTATATAAACTTTTTTTTAATCATAACAGTAACAATATTAGTTTAATAGCTCTAAAAGGCAGTCAATGTAAAAATTTCCTTTTCAGAGGTGGCTAGCTGCATACTGGACTTTAAAAATATCCTTAGATTTTCTTATACATGCACTGATCTCTTAGAGAGCTATTTGGTTAGGCTGTATTATAGCTTCATACTAAAAGCAAAAAAATTTAAAACAACAATAACAAAAATCCGCACTCTCTCAACACTAAAAAGACAAAGCACTGTTAATGAAAAAAACAACTTGATTCTTTATGATTCAGTATTATTAGAATCAAAAGGAATTAAAATTCACTATTCAAGAGTTTACTGTTTTAAGTCTCTAGCATTTATTTTCATAGCATAGAATATCTACTAAGATAATAGAAATGAAAATCTAGAACCACAGACTTTTTCTCTAAGGTTAACACAAAGAAGTTCAGGAAAGCAGTAGTACAAGCAAATCAATCAATAAATTGCTGAAAAGTTTAGAAAAGTGCAAAGCAAAACCCCAAAACCCTAGCACTTAAAAATCACAACTCTTTTCATCAAAGTCTCAAGTTAGTAGTTAAAATCAATTAGTTCTCAACTGCCATGAGGAAAGAAATTATTTTTATTAATACTCTGAAGAACAGGAAACAAAAGGTCAAACATACTAATTTTTTTTTTCTCAACAAACAATAAATTAGCTTTGGATCTATGACTAGAACTGAGATCTCAATTTTTAATGTGCTCAGATCAGCAGACTATTTCTGAGTGTAAAAGATTCCAATCATACAGAGTAGATTTTTCGGCTATTAATCATAAAGTGAATTTATGGGCTATGGTCACTGTTATCTTTAATAGGTTACAAATGACAATTTTCAAGTCTTTTAAGGGAACATTCAACAAGGACTAGGAAACAACAAAAACAACAAAAGATTTTTATAGTGCATATTTACATTAAGATAGCGATTAAAGACAACCTACAGAATATATTTAAAGAGTAGTCCAGACCTTCAAAGATTACTGAAAATTACTGCTCCAGAAGACTCCAGAGAAAACACCTATAATGATTTCTTGAGTACTTTTTCTCTTGTGTACCTACTTAGTAAGATAGTTTTTCTGTTTAATTTTTACCCAATTTTGTTTTTCTGCTTTAAGATGGAAAGAACATTTTTGATTTGGGGATTGACTAAACTTGACTATGACTGCTTTGGGGAAAAGGAAGAGAAAAATGATCTTTGAATATACATTCAAAATATATCAATGTTTTGAACATGATTTTTAAAATAAATAATGTCCAGTAAATCAGATTTAAAACCTAGGATTATAGTTTGTTTAGCAGTTATAAAATACATATTCTAGAAAATATCATAAACTGAAACTCCAATGTGGAAAACATTTTGAAGCTTATAGAGAAAGCTAGATGTATTTAACAATTTACCTTGTTTCTAATTGTTTTATACTAAATTGTAACTGCTGTAAACGCCTATCTGATGCTTCCTCTCTTCCTTGGGCAGACAACATTTCCTCCTCCTAGAAAATAAAGAAACTGGAAGCTTGAGTATGTGAAAATACAATACATCATTATACAACATAAAGAATTCACTCTATAAAGTTATTACACTTCTAGAATTTAATATCTAAGTTTAAAGAAGGGATACCAATACAGCATTATCTAATCAACTCCTTAAAAATTGATCTAGATGTCTGAGAGCTGTCCATGAAATCTGTTTCACTAAAAAAAATTCTGTAGCATAGTATTTATGGTATGACTCCTTTTACACTAAAAAAATTAAAACATATATGCATATATATATATACACACACAGAAAATCATCTTTAAGCTATAAACAATCTGTTAACATTGATTATTTCCTAGGGATAGACCTGCAAGGTAATCTTGCATTACCTCTATTATATATTTTGTATATATGTTGTGCTCTTCTTTATATTTTTCAATATTATTTGAATTTTTAGGAATAGCATGCACTACTTTTATAACTAGGAAAGTAATAAAATTGAAAATAAACAAGCAATAACAGTTTGGAAATAAATCATGTACATACTAAAAAAAGGGGAAGAAAACCTCACTATCGATTTTGTATTAGAAAAACAATAATAAAAAGTCATTGCATATAAATTTCTACCAATATTTCAAACTATTTCTATAGTGCAAATCTAACAAAACAAAGCAGGGATTTGTATGTAAATAATCTGCCTTTATAATATGCTCTTTTAAAACTTGGTTATACAGCATACCATTACAATCATAGGATATTTCTTCTCTGACCTAGCAATGCTTTGAAATAAACAGGTTTGATTTGTACCACCTTTAGAAAAAATCCTGTTTATCCTTTCTTGCCTACTGTTGTGTTATTTTTTACATACCATTTTAATTCTATTGACTTTTAGCTATATCTCTGAATTAATTTTTAGTAGTTGCTCTAGAAATTATAGTATGTATCTTTAACTCATCCCAATTTATTCAGAGTTAATATCTAGTTCAGAGAAAACATGGGAACCTTGCAACAATGTATTTATCTCCATGTACCATCCTAGTCTTGAGTGCATTGTTCTATTACATCTGTGACTTTACAAATCCATCACATAGGTAGAGGTCATTGAACTCTACCTTTGAAACTGATAATACATGGTATGTTAATTAATTGAATTTAAATTAAAAAAAAGACAAATAAATAAATCCATCACATACACTGCTCAATCCTCCTTTAAAGCAGTCATATATTTTAAGGTATTAATTAGAAAAATATGTACAAAAATATTTCATATTTACAATTGTTGTTCCTCTTAATTTCTTCCTATATCTGAGTCACCATCTGGTGTCCTTTCCTTTTAGCCTAAAGAATTTCTTTTGTCATTCTTTGGATAACAGCTCTGCTAGTGACAAACTCTCAGTGTCATTTATCTGAAAATTTCTTTATTTTACCTTCATTTTTGAAGTACAGTTTCACTGGACATAGAATTCTTAGTGAGCATTTTTTTCCCTTCAGCACTTCAAATATATTACTCCAATGTTTTTTGCTTCCACGTTTCTTGTAAGAAGTCAGCCATTACTCTTACCACTGTTGCTCCGTTCATGCCATTTTCCTGTTGCTGCATTCAAGTTTTCACTTTATAACTGGTGGTCAGTATTGTAATGATGTGTAGAAGTAATTTTCTTTGTGTTTATCCTACCTGTTTTCCACCAAATATTGGAAGTTTCCAGCCATTATTTCTTTAAACATCTTTTCTGTCCCCGTCTCTTCTGCAATTCCAATTACATTCCTGTTGGCTTGCTTCGTATTTTCCCCCAGATCTCTGAGGTCTTGTTTATTTTTCTTCCATCTTTCATTTTAAAGATTTTTATTTAGTTATTTGACACAGAGAGAGAGAGAGTGCACAAGCAGGGGACAGTGGCGGGCAGAGGGAGAGGGAGAAGCAGGCTCCCTGCTGAGCAAGAAGCCCGATGCGGGGCTTGATCCCAGGACTCAGGGTCATGACCTGAGCTGAAATCAAGAGCCAGCCGCTTAACTGACTGAGCCACCCATTTTTCTTCCATCTTTTAAACTGTTTTTTTTTTTTTTAATTTTATTATATTATGTTAGTCACCATACAATACATCATTGGTTTTTGATGTGGTGATCCACGATCCATTGTTTTCATATAACACCCAGTGCTCCATGCAGTATGTGCCCTCCTTAATACCCATCACCGGGCTAACCAATCCCCCCTCCGACTCCTCTAAAACCCTGTTTGTTTCTCAGAGTCTCATGGTTCATCTCTCCCTTCAATTCCCCCCCTCATTTTTCCCTTCCTTCTCCTAATGTCCTCCATGCTATTCCTTATGTTCCACAAATAAGTGAAACCATATAATTGACTTTCTCTGCTTGACTTATTTCACTTAGCATAATCTCCTCCAGTCCCATCCATGTTGATGTAAAAGTTGGGTATTATCCTTTCTGATGGCTGAGTAATATTCCATTGTATATATGAACCACATCTTCTTTATCCATTCATCTGTTGAAGGGCATCTCGGCGCTTTCCACAGTTTGGCTATTATGGACATTGCTGCTATGAACATTGGGGTGCATATGGCCCTTCTTTTCACTACATCTGTGTCTTTGGGGTAAATACCCAGGAGTGCAATTGCTGGGTCATAGGGTAGCTCTATTTTTAAATTTCTGAGGAAGCTCCACACTGTTTTCCAAAGTGGCTGTACCAACTTGCATTCCCACCAACAGTGTAAGAGGGTTCCCCTTTCTCACAACCTCTCCAACATTTGTTTTTCTTTCCCTGTCCATTTTTGCCATTCTAACTGGTGTAAGGTGGTATCTCATGTGGTTTTGATTTGAATTTCCCTGATGGCTAATGATGATGAACATTTTTTCATGTGTCTGTTAGTCATTTGTATGTCTTCTTCAGAGAAGTGTCTTTTCATATCTTCTGTCCACTTTTTGACTTATTTGTGTTTTGGGTGTTGAGTTTGAGAAGTTTTTTATAGATCTTGGATACCAGTCCTTTATCTATAGTGTCATTTGCAAATATCTTCTCCCATTCTGTGGGTTGCCTCTTTGTTTTGTTGACTGTTCCCTTTGCTGTGCAGAAGACTTTTATCTTGATGAAGTCCCAAAATGTCACTTTTGCTTTTGTTTCACTAGCTTTTGGAGATGTATCTTGAAAGAAGTTGCTGTGGCTGATGTCAAAGAGGTTCCTGCCTATGTTCTCCTCTAGGATTTTGATGGATTCCTGTCTCTCATTGAGGCCTTTCATCCACTTTGAGTTTATCTTTGTGAATGGTGTTAGAGAATGATCGAGTTTCATTCTTCTGCATGTGGCTGTCCAATTTTCCCAGCACCATTTATTGAAGAGACTGTCTTTTTTCCATTGCATGTTTTTTCCTGCTTTGTCAAAGATTATTTGACCACAGAGTTGAGGGTCCATATCTGGGTTCTCTATTCTGTTCCATTGGTCTGTATGTCTGTTTTTGTGCCAGTACCATACTGTCTTGGTGATCACAGCTTTGTAACATAGCTTGAAATTGGGCAACGTGATGCCCCCAGCTTGTTTTTCTTTTTCAACATTTCCTTGGCGATTCGGGGTCTTTTCTGATTCCATACAAATTTTAGGATTGTTTGTTCCAGCACTTTGAAAAATTAAACTCTGTTTTTTGGATAGGAAAATTTCTGTTGATCTGTCTTCAAGTTCATTGCTTATTTCTTCTGCTATTTCCAATCTATTCTTGAGCCCATCTAATTAAATTTTTATTTTGGTTGCTGTACTTTTAAACTCCAGAATTTCTATTTTTAAAATTATTTTCTATTTCTCAGTTAAAATTCTCTATCTGCTCCATCACTGAAGCCTTATTTTACTCTAACTTAAATACACATTTTCTTTAATTCCTTTAACATATTTATAACCGCTTATTTGAAGCCTTTGCCTGCTAAATCCAAGAGCTAGGTCTGCTGAGAGTGAATTTCTATGGACTGCTTTGCTTCCCCTACCCCAGCCCCATCAGTCACACTTTCCTGTCTAGAGAGTTTTGGTTGAAAACTGGATAATATAGATAATGCATTGCAGTTACTTTGGATTCTGTTTTGTTCTTGAGGATTATTAGTTTTTCTGTTCAAGGAGGCAATTATCTTGCCTCGATTCAAGCTCTGGAATGTTTCCCCTATAGTATGCAGCAGCTGCCATATGTAATCAGTTCTTGTTTCTTTCCATGGTTGCTTTTTTACCTAGGCTTCCTGGAAATTCTCTTGTGCCTACATACTTAAAGGATTGGTCAAGTTTGGGCAGGGGTAGGGCTCATCCTCTTCATGATGTTGTTGGTCTTGGAGATTCCTCTGTAATTTCAAGCTGCTCTGGCTGCTTTGGGCTCTGTCCTCTGATACAAACATTAAGGCTTCAGCTTTCTGTTGCTTGAACAGTACACATTTCAGGAATGCAATCAATTATAAGAAGTGGTAAACTCAGATATATAGTTCCATATAGCTCTATCTTTCAAGAGTAGTTTTCTTTCAGGTCTCTGCCTACTTTTTCACTCAACTCCCTCTCCTACCCCCATATGCATACTTTGGCTGTCAGCCATGGATCTGGTCAGAGTTTATACTCAGAATTTAGGTTTCTCTCTCTGTTTTTTGTTGTTGTTGTGCTTTTGTTGCCAATATTTCTTCTTTATGTTTTCAACTGCTTTTCCTACCTTTAACTTTGATCTTGGCTATTTAAGTCCATATAAAGCTGTTGTTTTCTGAACCCACAGCTATGGCGGCTGGCAAGAACTCTCAGGTCAGAAATTCAAAAACTTACAATTCGTACCTCTTTCAGTGTCTTTCTGTTTTTGGGTGTGTCCCAATGTTTTAAAGAATGTATCCAAGTTTTATAACTGTTATCTATGGGCAGTTTTACATAAGCCTTTCACGAATCACCATTATTAGAAATCTATAATCAACTTTCACTTATTAGGAAATAAAGCTTAGAAAAGTTACACAGCTAGTAAATACCACAGCTAGAATTTTTAATAATTATATCCACCTAAATCTAAAGCCTAACCTTTCCTTGACACCTTCCTGAAATGTCACTATTACACATAAAAACCAGGGTCTCTTATGCCAATAAGCATTTCCATAAATAACACAAAATGTAGTATTACATGCTTCTTTTTATCTATGTATTACCAATTAATCAAACTTCATCTTGTCTTAATATGTCTTTCAGTAATGATGTTATCTAGGAATGATTACAATGTTTTACTGACTCAGGATAAAGTGAATGGAAGTAATTTCCAAAATTATAATTTAGCTTCCTAATTTCATATTTTATATTTAGAGAGCAATAAAATGATTTTTAATTTCTTTTCCAGCAACCCTCTTTAACACCTAATCCAAAAAATATTAATAAAATTCACAGAAACTAAACTATAGGCTTCCAGTTGTCTTAGAAATAAGAAAATACCTTCTTTTGCATTTGTCCTTGAAGATTTTCAGCCATGTTATTTAACTCTTCCACTTTTGCTGCTGCAACTCTCATATCTAACTTGGCTTGCCTAAAATAGAAAGTAAGTTAATAAACACTTTTCATAGGCCATAAAGAATTAAAAAAGCTAGAAAAGAAATCTAAATTTGGTAAAATCACTAGTAACTCTTATGCACCTAAAAATGAATCTAAGGGGTAGATACTGAAAGATTCCTTTATTACTGATAAAATGCATGTGGAAGAGTAAAGAGGAAAAGTATAGGTGAAGGGCAGGGGTATAAAGTGGGAGTTATTAATACTTTATTTGGATAAATTATATTTCATACTCAAATGATTCATATTTCATGAAAAAGCACTTTATCATCTTAGTAAATTACCTAACAAGAATGGCAGTGCTAAGTAGAATATCGTTACTTTAATAACTTCCTGAATTTATAGAGTTAAAGAAATATCACTGATTGGCTTTTCTATGAAAATGAACCAAAGCTTCAATATTTGATCACTCCTTAAATACCAGGAGTATGTATTATATAACCACTTAATATAATGAATTCAAACATTTGTCTCAAGATAGTATAATAGTTAATTTTTTTAGAAATTGTAGTTGCAAAAGAAAAAATAACAAGTTTTTTGAATGTTCCATTAGTATCAAATAAGTTTCAATATCTTCTTGACTCCCCACAGAAAAGATTTTAGAATAATAAGACTTTCTGAAACAGAAAAAAAGATTTTTAATATCCTACCAATTAAGCATTAAGTATGAAACAAAACACTTGGATTATGTAAAAAACATAAACATATTTAGGAACAAAGCTACTTTAGTGTAGGAACTGCCCATATTTATTTCTTAATTATATTTTATGTAGGTATTATAAATCAACCATTTCAGTGCTATTGGGCTTAAAAAATTATTTGATGAGAAATTCACAGTATATGTTAACTGATTTACTTTTGGCTAACAGTATTTATATATTACATTACTGATTAGCATAAGACAATAGGAAATAAAAATCTAACAGTAAATTGTCTTAGCATAAGACAATAGGAAATAAAAATCTAAAATGTATCAGATAATTACTAGGTAACAGAAACTGTCATAAATGCTTTGCAATCATCTCACTTAGTACAATTAACTTTCTCTGTGAATTAAGTATTATTAAGACTATTCCACCAAACTAAAGTTGAGAGTGAGGTTGACAGAGATTTACCAACTTGCCCGAGGATTCACAAATTAAGTAATGAAACTGGTATTTAAACAGAGTTCTCTATGATACACTGTCTACAAAAAAAAAATGGTTCCAATAATATAAAATTAAGCACTTTAGGAAAATGCTTTGTTTTGAATAAATCTAATTTATAAAAATCTGAATTTATCAGACATAAAATAGACTTTTTTCTACTTGCAAAATGGTTCACCAACAACAAAGCTAAAACCAAAAACCACCTTATACCAATGTATTTTAAATCTCCCTCAAGGTTAGAGATAATTTCAGGACTGCAATTATCATATGAATCAATAAATGAACCTACCATTTATAACATCCTGTATATTTTAAAAGGAAAAAATTAAGCAGTGAGATACTTAATAAGGCCATGGCATGATTAAGAAAAAAAAAAAGATCAGTTAGAGAGACAATCAGAATACGATGCAATATGGAAAACTCCAGAGTCAGGAACCTAGTTCTGTCACTAACTAGGAATGTGGCCTAAGGCAATTCACCTGACCACAAGCGTCTCAGCTATCTTATGTCCAACAACAGGGAGGTGGATTAGATAATCTGCAAAGACCAAGACCCTACAATAGATGATCTCCTGATTTCTAATTTTCCTAATGATTCTACTTCTAAATTGTCTTTCAATTATGTATTCCATTTCCATTTCATGGCCCAACCTTTGGTCCCATCATTACTTCCAGTACTAGTCCAATAGTTTCCAAACTGAAGTCCTCACTGTGGGTCTCTTCCTTAATTCAATTTCTATAATGCATCATATCTGCAAATTAAGGTTAGCTACTGTTAAAAATCCTTGTTTAATAACATTTTCTGGATTCCCTACTTCTTTGGGCACACAATCAACACTCCTCTGCATGGCATATAAGGCTAATCATCATTTGGCCCCAAGGAGTCTCATCTCTTGCCAATTCCCTTCATGTTAATTTATGTTTCAAGTATAACAGAGCACTAACTAACTGTTTCTTAAAACAGATCCTTGTCTATTTTTTCACATTTGATTGAACTAAACTCCCTCTTTTTCTGATATATTCCTCAAAAATCTTCAAGACTTAGCTCAAAAGACTCCTCATCTCCAGTCTTCCCTAACTTCTCCTAGGCAAAAGACCTTATAATGCCAGTCTGCATAATACATAATACTTTGTACATTAACACATACTTCCTTGTGGAATTGTAGAGTTTATAAAAAAAATGGAATATAAGATCATTAAAGGCAAGAATCACATTTTATTAATTTTAAATCCTCAGGAGATAGCACAGTACCTGGCATATGGAAGACATGTAAATATGTCATAAATCAATGAAAAAGCATAAAAGGAAAGGAGATAAAGAGTAACAGTTACAACTTATATCTTGATATTTTACTTTAGATCCTGCATATTAAATTTGATATTCATGTGTGTGTGTGTATATATACATATATATATGTATATGTATATGTGTGTGTGTGTATATATATGTGTATATATATATATATATATATGACAGTAGGAAATAAAAATCTAACACTAGCTAAAATGTATCAGATAATTATTAGGTAACAGAAACTATATATATATACACACACACACACACACACACACACACACACATGATATATATAGAAATATATACAAAACTATATATAAATATATAAACTATATGTTAAAAAATATATACAAAATACATATATGTTTATTCCTACCTTGTTTCACAAGATAGAAATGAACTAAATACTTCCTTCTACTTCTGGCATGAAATACTAAAAGATATTCTAGAATAAAAGTTGTAAGGTCTGTCTTCTGGATCTTACTCCACCACCACAAAAGCCATGTGAACTGGGCCAATCACTTAACCTTTCTGAGTCTCAGAACTGTAGCTGTAAAATAGAGATTAAGAACAATTTTCCTGCATAGCTCACAAAATTAACATAAAGTTCATATAAGTTAATGCATATTAAAGCACTTTTATAAACTTTATTGTAGTTTATACAAATGCAAACTATTATAATTTCGCCCTTTTTAAGAATTTAAATTGTCAAGAACTGTGTGGTAGAGCTAGATTACAGCTGAGAAAGCTTTGGGATCCTTGAATTTTTAGCCTTAACTCTTGGCCAAAAAATGGAAAGTAGTATTTATGATGTGCTGCTTCAAGTCTGAATCCCACCTGGTAACCCCCAAACAGGATTTGTCTACTGATGGTTTTCACCTTGGACTGGTTAGACAACAGGGATGGACTATGTGAGCAGAGGGGCAAAAAAAGACACATCTTGGTAACTGAATCTGGAGACAAAGCATGTCTTTGTCTAGAGACCCTAAGGGTGCTTGTGGCTGAATGTCACCTGTACCCCCTATGCTTGTTTATGCCTTTTTTTAAACTGCCTTAAATTAAAAATAAATAAATAAATAAAATAAAAGCCTTATGTGAGTATGCTCTGCAGAAACCTGTCGTTCCTTTCAAATATTCAAACTTGTGAAACCTTTAAAGAAATCAACAAAAATAATATTAATTTTATTTTCTGAAGGAAGTTTAATAACTATATGTTTATACTATTTTACATGCAAATGTCTTAAGATATATGTCTCTTTATGGACATAATTTTATAAAAGACAAAATAGTTTTCTTTTTAGAAAAACACATTTGATAAGAAAGAAATAAGAATAACTAAATATTAACAATTTTAATGTTATAACTACTCATATATTTATTTTTTGCTCCAAAGGAATAGTTTTTAAATGCATAGTATTTCATTTTCTGGTATGCTTCCTTGTCAAACAATTTAAAACTTCTGGGATTTGATTAGCAGAGAGGAACACAGCTGTGGAGTAAGAGGAGTCTAGGCTCGTCTCGTCCCACAAACACAGCTAGATAACTATCAAATCATCCTAAATACCCCAGAAATTGACATGAAGACAGAAGAAACTCTACAACTAAAGGGAGAGAAGAGGCCACACTGAAAAAGTTAGGAAGTGCAGAGACAAGGTTTAGGGGAGAAATGGATCATGGGTGCTGCAGAGGGGAAAGGGTGGTGGTCAAGGAGAAGGACAAGAGAGGGGGAGTACACAGGGGAACACACAAGGATAACATTTCCCCATTGGCTTAGAAAATGAAAAGGGTTGAATTCTGAGTTCTTGGAACCAGCAGGGCTTAAAGCATTGGAATTTTATTTATTTATTTATCTTTTTAAAGATTTTATTTATTCGACAGAGAGAGACACAGCAAGAGAGGGAACACAAGCAGGGGGAGTGGGGGGGGGAGAAGCAGTCTTCCCACGGAGCAGGGAGCCTGACGTGGGGCTCGATCCCAGGACCCTGGGATCATGACCTGAGCCAAAGGCAGATGCTTAAGGACTGAGCTACCCAGGCGACCCAAAGCACTAGAATTTTAAAGGTCGGTGGGCTTGACTGGGATAGAGTCTAGAGGGCACTGTGCTGCCCCTAGAGAAAAGGCAGGTAAACAACTGGGAGCAGACAGCACAGAAACAGTGATCTGCAGAATGTATGGGGAGATTATTTGCTCTCCTCAGAGTGCATCCCTGAGAGGCAGCATTCACCGAGACACCTCTCTGAAAACAAAGGAGCTGGCTGGTGCCATTTCCCTCCCCCACCCCTCAACATAAATACAAAGCCACCTGTGGGAAGCAGCACAGCGTGAATATTGGCTGCCTAAGGTGCTTATACCAAACCCCAACCCCCTGAGCTCTGGTGGGACTGCCCTTCTTAGTCAAACTTGTCTCTGTCTCAGCATGGTGGGCCCCTACTCCAGAAGACTAGCACAGACCCCTGCCCACACCATGTTTCCAGACCAGAGGGTCCTGCAAAACGAGAACAGATTTAGATTTAGGGCCTCAGTTCTGGTGGAG